AATAAAACCCATTTTACAAATAAAATTACAAAAAATACTGACGGCTAGAACGGATTAATTGTATTTGCATTAATTTCTGTGGAAAAAATTGCTTCAGTTAACGAACAATTCGGTTAACGAACGGACTCGTGGAACGGATTACGTTCGTTAACCAGGGTTCCACTGTATATAGTAAATAGTTTTATTGAAGGATTATCACACAATTGAAACTGGACTTCGAACTCACATTTGAGTTATAAATAAACACTTGGCTTTATTTCCATCAAATGATGAAAATGATGGCAATAAAGCCAAGTGTTTATTTATAACTCAAATGTGAGTTCGAAGTCCAATATATTCGCAAAACACGGTTTCAAAAACAACACACAATTGAAACTGTTATTGCCTTATATGTGACCTGAAATGCATTTCTGCCTATGGTGTTAAATGGCTCTTATCAGTTAGATGATCATATTAAAATGCTAAAAACCCATAACCAATAAAGTATTTAAATCATATGTTTAGCTGTCAACAGCTTTACATGACAGCTTTACAAATTACATGGTAAACATTTCTAACACTATATTATATAATACAACAAATTATTGAAAATTTGTTGTTTCACAAATATTGTTGTAATAAATCATTGTGGCTCTATATTTCTTCTCATGCATCAATGGGCCATAATTATTTCTTCTAGATAGTTCACTTTTTACATAGTCACATGATATCATACCCCACTTAGAGCAATTGTACTGCTAATTGTCTAAATTAGAGCATTATCCATGGATACTGTGGTGGTCGTCGCACCACTTGATTGTGTTCGCTGAGAATATATGTATAGAGACCGTAGTCATATATCTCACCATTTGCTTTATTTACACAATGTACAAAGAAATCTCGTTCTACACTATCGGTACGGTTGGTTAGGATCCACGTGTAGGTACATGAGAGTAACTCGCGTCCTGAGAGTAGTCGACAAGTCAGAAAAAGAAGTATGGCGGACGGCCTGCACATGCTTATATATCCGTCGCGCCAGCGCCACCTAGATTTTCAGATGTAGCGCTAGTTACAATTATTCGGCCGCCACAGATACCATTTAAAGGTGTTATTGGAAAATTTAAACCCTTGCCACTTTCTCTGAATAATAATTTGAAATATATTTAAAGAATAATTTTCAAATTTAGCTTTTCATTTATTTCTCCATTATGGAGAATGTGACATTTTTTGTCTTGCAGCCTTCTGCAGATACATTCATTCACTCATCTAGACACAGTCATACCCAGACTTATGCTACCCCGACTTATGCGAACCCGGAGTTACGCGATTTTCAAATCTCGTCGATTCGTCTTTTGTTTGAGCGCCACGCAACTCTTGATTATTCACTCCCCCCACACTATTGTTCAGCTTAATGTTTGGACGTGTTGCACGGAATTGACGCATAGCTACAATTTATTTTGTGTAATTTATTTCTGTTTGTTATATCTACGGAGACTTGAGAGACTCTATGTGGTGATTTCTTGTAACCGTGAACGAACCAAAAGGCGAGATAAGATTAACGAGAACATTTATTAGCTTACATACATCTGACTTGGATTTTACACAAAAGGCATCTGCAATCGTGAACAATTGACGAAAAAAGTATACATTTATCAGATAATTGTATATACTCATTTTGTAAACAATTTACCTTTTGTATACACAACTGACAAGATTACCTTTCAAATTATAAACAGACTCAATCTCAAGCGGTCTTTTGATCGTCGGACATACAAAAGAAATGAACAGATGACGCCTAACTTAAGCGCGGTTTACAATAACGAATATGATTAATCTTAACATTCTACTATGTCATCCAAACGAAGTAGAACTGATTCTTCTGCATCAAACAAGAAAAGAAAAACTTTATCTTTGGAATGTAAAGTTAACATTATTAAAGACTTCGATACAAAAATGAAAATTTGTGAATTGGCAAAGAAGTTTGATCTACCGGAATCGACGGTCAGAACAATTATAAAAGGTAAAGAAAAAATTCTCGAAGCTGTAAAAAATGTTCAATCTTTAAATTCAAGCATCATTCGTAAACGTCACGGTATTATCGCTGAGATGGAAACAATGTTAAAATTATGGTGTGATAATTGAGTTAATGTGAAAAATTGTATAATAATATAATTTGTTATACGTATGTATTATCTAAGATTTTATTAAACATTTTTTTTCTAAATTATTGTTTTCTTTAGTCTTTGGTCCCAATTAAAAATAATTTGTATGTATTTATATGCAAAATTATACCCCGACTTACGCAAATTCGACTTACGTGGTTATCGCTCGGTCCCACCTATCGCGTAAGTCCGGGGTATGACTGTATTTAACTGTTTATAAAGCACATGAAATGAAAAGATCAGTGATATCTTCAAAAACATATCTCTAAATCTTACAGGTATAGAAACTGCCATCAAGCATGTGTAGATCAATAATTTTCATATTAATATCAGTTTATCTTAGATGTACACGAAATACAATAAAGTATGAAACCTTCATTCGATGACTAAGTTTTACATTACTAATTATTTTGCTATAGAAAGTTGTGATATCAATGATGTCAAGTAATTGTTCCAACATCTTGTAATAGTGCTGACAAGAAATTTCATTATATACAGTTTTGGTATTGGTGCAATATTACTTTTAATAAAACAATATTTCGGTTTTCAAACACACACTTGGCAGTGCATTACAGATTTGTTTCATTACTAATTATTCCAAAGTTTATTTCATTTATAAACAGTTTGAAGGAATTATTATTGCATTATATATACTTTAAAGTAACTGTCAGCTGTAAAACACACTGCCAAGTGTGCATTTGAAACCGAAATACTGTTTTATTGAAAAGGACATTGGCACCGATACCAAAACTATATAATGAAAATTTTTGTCACCACTATTACAGCTTTTGATGTCAGAATGATTGCTTTACGTCCCAGATATCAGAATTTTCTATAGTGAAATAAATATGAATATAAAACATGGTTATTGAATGAAGGTTTTATACTTATTGTATTTCGTGTACTTCTAAGATAAAATGGTAATAATTTGAAAATGATTGATTTATACATACTTGACAGACGTTTCTGTATCTGTAAGGTTTAGAGGTATGTTTTTGGGGGTTATAATATAATAAATGAAATTTGAATGTTTTAAACAATAATCTTTCTATGTTTGAAAGATTTTTGGAATAGGGTTTAAATGTATCTGTTTTTATTCATATATCATTTATATTGTATATCTAAGAAATTCTGATATTAACTATTATTGTTGATGTCTTAGTTCTTGCATTAATTTGCAGTAAATAATAATTGATTATTATTGAGCTGTTTTATGAATAGTCTGATTTCTTCCAATTGTATGTTATTGTTTTTCATATTATGAATATAACAATGTATTTAAGAAGCATTCTCTAGCTCTTATATGTAATGTTCTAATATTGATTTTGTAGGTTCTTTCACAAATCTTGACCAGGAGCTGCATGTTACTTGGAAGGGGCCCCTAGAGACAGTATGTTTACAAGTAGTTTGATAGCAACCAGAGATGTTAAATTTGTTAAATTCATATAACTTGATAACTTGTATCCTACACATATTAACACAGATTTATCCTTGCTACTGTGCATCACAGCAGCCTGACCAATATTTGTGAAATATACTGTCTACAAAGTTTTTGTTTCTTAGGTTTTTGTTATCTTTAGGTATATGTCACTGTTTGTTTTTGTTATCATATTGAATAAAATTTTTAAGAATCAAAACCTATTTAAGTGGATCTCTTCTGATAATTTTTATTGTTTCTATAAATTTTAATTTGTTTATGACCATATTAACAGTCTTTTTGCTAAGGCTGATTTCATTATTTTTATTAAAATGATTAATTGACAAACTTAGAATTAATTTGGAAGTTTTAATATTATGATTTTAAATTTTTTATATCTACTTCTTCTTTTTATCACTTATTAAGTATGTATACTTTTGTGAGGAACGAGGAGATAGAGAGTCTAACTCTTCCTTTTTTTATGGCGACAGCCAGGTGATGACCGCTCAGTGTCTGTGGATGGAGTTAAATTAGGCAAGTGGGAGGGTTAGCGAGGTCGTTGATAAGGTGTCGGCGATACACAAGTTACTACAATTATTTAAATAAACTTAACAATTTAATATAAACAATAAAACATATTTCAGCAGACAGGAACACAATACTGTTCTGTAGCGTTAATACTGGTTCTGTTCTTAGGACTGAAACTGTTAGTCTTAGCGGGTAGCTAATTTTTTAAATCTAACAAGTAAGTCTAACTTAATATCTAAGTTGACCGAGAGAGAGTTTACATAAAATTAGTAAACCAAATATCTCGTTAGGCATTTGGTCTGTGGCGAAGGCTTTGGGATGGTCAGTTGACTTTTCGTGGAGATGATGGGTGTGAGGTCCAGCATGGAGTCAGTCTTCTTCGGTGATTGCACCGATGATTGGGTGCAACCCCTCTTTATATGCATCCTGCATGAGAACAGTCTCAGGAGATCTTGATTTATTGCATTCCTAAGTTCAAGTTAGATCCAGGTTTGACTGAGATGGGACATCGCGGATTGGACGGCTTGGTTGGATTGTTGATACTTTCCCTCAGTGTTACAACTCTCCTTATCTCATAATTTTATTCAATTGACAGTTTCCCCTCATTAATACTTGACTGTTTTGACTAAGTTTATAACATAAGTCCAAATATTGTAATAATCATTGACTTGGAGGGATATTTTGATCAGTGTTATCTACCAGAGTATCATGAGGGGGGTGGGAAAAAGGAAGTGGGACTTTCCCACTTCTCCTCAGTGAACTAATTAATTTAATCTCTTAATTGCCCCTTCAGAATCTCACACTTTTATAAAATTTTCGAAAATAAAATTTATAATAATATATTATATAATAAAATGTATTTTTATGATCAAGAAAAACTAAATGAAAATTTAAATATATGTTTTTTATTTTAGGTTTTCCACATGAATATAATTATAAACAAGACATTGAAAAATTAATTACTTTAGGAAAAGAATGCTGGGATAGATTATATAAATTAATTTCTGATACAGGTATATGCTTTATTTTTCTTGAAGTTTATATTTTTTATTTACTGTAAAATATTTTTATTAATAAATTTTAAATGTTTTAATTAAGAGGAAAAAATATTTGTAAATTTTATTTTGTATCTTCTGAAATTTTAAAATTCAGAAGATACTTAAAAATTTTATTAAAATATTTCATGTTCTGAAAATGATCATCTTTTTGTAATGCTTTAATTAATAGAAAAAAAAGAAATCAGCAAAAAGGAAATACACATAAAACATGAAAGAAATTCTTTTTCCAAAAGTGAAAAAGTTTCTAAGAAAACGGATGTAGGACGTGAAAGTCAAAAAGTTATCAGTAGTGCATCAGATTCCCCTAATACTGTATTTTCTTCTTGTGATCATTTATCAATTCCAAATATTTCTGTTATGACGTGAGTTGATTTCAATTTGTTTTCATTTTTTCGTAAAATTAATTTTACACTGTATTTAATTGATCATTTTTAATTCAAAATACAATTTGTATACTTAGTAAAATGAACTATAGATGTATCATTCTAATATCTGTCCACTAAATATTTTATTTTTGCAGTGTGATATTGTATTATAATCAATAGAAATCTAAGAAAACATAATTTATGTACAAAACATTTTAAATTAAATATCATAATTAGATACTGTAAATTCAAAATGTTTTATAATTTGAAATAATTTTTTTCTGTTTAAATAAAATAGATCACATCTGTATTTAAATTAAACAATAAAATATTTTATTCTTTTGTCACAGAATTGTTTCAGTAAAAATTTGATAACTTTAATTTAGAATCATTTTAGATCAATTTTTAATTAGATTTTTAATTTTAAAAATGAACAAGAAAAAATGCAGATAATCATATTTTTTTGGAAGTTATTCATTTTTGTTAGAACTAGAGCATAATGGTATCAAATAATAGCAGTAAATATATATATTTAATTAAGTTAAAAAATTTGTTGTTAAATATTTTTGTAAATGTTATATAAACACATGTTAATAAACAATGTATTGTTTTACTTACATTCTTACTTACATTATTAGTTCTTATCATTAGTTATTTGTAACCTAAGCATTTTAATTAAAAAGTATTTAGTAATTTAATAACATATATCATTAATTAATAAATGCTTCTAGTTCTTTAAATATTATTTTATTAATATTAGCCAGTTAAATCAGTATAATAAAGTTATAACTCCTATTAATAGATTATAGTCACAATAGACTAATATTAAAAAAAAAAAACCATGTCATTCTTTAGTATAAATATAAATAAAAATATTGGAGATATCATTGATTTCTTGTTTTATAACTTAAATTTTTCAGATTTATTTTTAACTATTGATAAACAGTTTTATTATTGATTATTGCAATTCTATTGATAATCGTCTGATTATAAATGTAAACGTATAAATTTATATTTAGTAAAGTTTTACATGAGTATAGAACAACAACAATATGAGTTTAGAACAATAATAAGTGACTAACATTAAATTTTGCAGTTTTTTTTAATAATTATATTTAACATATTCTATTTGGGACCATCAGTAGATATGTAAAATTCAAAACAATTGCATAAAATAGTAAATTTTTGGTTTGTCAAATTTTTAAATCCTGTTTTTGAAAATTATGGTTTCACACTGAGGAGGGATTAATTTAAGTTATTTTGATAGTGGGGAACCAAAGTAAGTGAGAAGTTGCTGAAGAATTTAACAGGCTGTATCTAAACTGCTTTTTATGATTGATCAGAAGTCTGGATGCAGTCTTTTAAACTCTTTAGCAACTTTGCACTGACTGTAGGTCTTTGTTATCAAAATAATATAAATTCATTCTTCCTTACTTAGTGCTATGGTTTACTTGTAAAAGAATAAACACAGATCAACATAACTTTCATGGTTCCAGACTTATGGTGCACCCTATATATTAATTAGATCTAAAGATTTTAATTGCATTTTTTTTAGTATGTATAAAATTAAATGTAATAAATATTAAGAATTAGAATTAAAATATTAATTATTTTAAAAATACTTTTTTATCAGATGCCAGCCTACACCATTAGAAAAATGCAGACAGCGTAATATACAACTTAGACAGAAATATCAGCAAAGAATGATGAGAGTTGAAAATCCAATTGTTAAAGCAAATTTAGTAAGATATCTTATTTAATAATTAATCATTAATTAAAGCCTAAAAGTCTAATTATTTGATTATATTTGAATGGATATATGAACTTACACATGCCATATAATTCAGTGTGAGTATTGCTAATTGAGCTTTTGCTTGAGCTTGTAATTCACTTGGTCTCAAGATTAAATTGAATTACAAGCTCAAGCAGATACAATTCTTGTATAAAAACATCTCAGTTTTCCATTTTAAAAATTAAACTATGTATGTAATACATAATTGTATTATTCAACTCATATACAAATATATATTATATTTATGTAATTGTGCTTGTTTGTTTATATTCAGAGTTTTGAAAGATAATCTAACTGAATAGATTAGATTAAGTTAGTTTCTTATAGACTGTATTGTGTTTGCTTTTGAAAGATACTATTTATCATATGACAGTTACAGACAATGTTAACAAAAATAAATGAAACTAAAGATTATAATGTTGGTGGTTTAAACAAATTTATTTAAACAGTTTTTGCAATTATAAAATTATTATACAAAAAATTTTAAAAATAAATTACACATTATACTGTAACAATAATTTCACTTTAAAAAAATAATTTGGAACACTTTAAGAATTCAATCTTAATCTTTTGACAATAATCTTAGCATTATTTCAAAGCTATCAAAGATTGATTCATAAAAAGCCACCGTGAAATTACTGTGTTTGATAGCTAGATAATTAATTAACAACCATACTACTAGTAATTATCCAATTTTATATTGATCTATTTAACAAATTTTAAGTTTAAGAATAATCCAAAAACTCCACAATATATAAGGGAAAAAATCCAGCAAAGAGTCAATTATCTGAAATAATCAGGGTGCAACATTTTTAGATAACTGATCATACATTGTAGGAAAAACGAAAAAGATAAATAGTTTAAATAAAGTAAAAATATCAATTTTAATTCTAGTACAAAGTAAATAAAAGATTAAGGTATAGAATTAAACATATAAATGAAGTAAAAGTATATTTAAAAACTCAAACTAAAAGAATTCTGTTACAAAAAATACACAAAATGCAACAATTTTTACAGTATTAGAAATCGTGTTAAGGATCACATGCTAAATTCTTTTAATAGGTACACAAAACTAATGATTAATTGGATATTGAATAAAATTTATTATTTAATACTACATAAATGAAAATATAAACAGCTGATTTAAAGAATTCATTAATCAAATGTTAACACCTGTTAATCATTAAAGCAAAACTGTTATTTAAGAAGCCTATGATTTTTCTGTATTTAAAACTTAGTACAACTTGTTCAATTTGGAACATGAATAAAACAAAAATTCTCTATTTCAGAAAAGTTATTGGTCCTGACAAAAATAAGTTTTTCTTATAAATTATTTTTCTTAAAAATTTTACTTTATGTAATACAAAAAATGAAATTAATTTAATACTACAAAATATTAATCTTAAAGATGAATTTTTAACTTAGTAACATGTTTTAGAAAGTATTTTATTTTAATTTGAATCAAATTTATAATTGAAATGCAATGGAGAGTAAAATGAATAAATATAAAACAGTATAATAATAATAATAATAATAATAATAATAATAATACTGTCANTTCAAACAAAAGAAAATTCTTTCTTTGTGAAATTTCTTTTAGTTTCTTCATAGAATCAACATTAAAATCTTCTATTATATCTATGTGAGTCTTTAATATACATATTTCAGAACCAACTTCTTCTGCAAACTAAAAAAGAAACTTTTCTAAAACTAATATTCTATTTAAAGATATTAAAATGTATCTTATCAAAGAAGTTAATAAAAATTTGAAATAACAAAACATTGGTAAAGATTTAATAACTAAATTTCTTTTACAACTTTCTTCAAATTGATTCAACAAATCAAATTGGTTCTCTGACTTTCTAAATAAAACTTAAATTGGCAAATTACATTCCTGTTTCCATGAGATAAAATAGACTTAAAAGACATAGTGCTTTTTTCCATGATTAAATTTTGTGAAGTAATATTTAAATCAGCACATTAAAATATAATTTATTATTCAAATAATGCAAACTTTCTAAGTGGAACTATGACTCCATGTGACAATCTGTAGTCCCCAAATCAACAGAATCACAATAATTTCTATTTGAAGCGAGTGAAGAGATAAAGAGGCAGTTAAAATGACAGATACTTTATTAACACAGGATTAGTATATAAACAATTGAGTGAAGTGATGCAAATCAATAATTTATGATGACTGGAAAAACAATGAACATAAAGATGGAATAACTAAAGCACGCTACACACAACCAAGCACATATTACAATAAATGAAGAACTATAACTTAAGTGGAGATAACTGGATCTTTAAATAATAGCAACGATAAAAAATATTGTAAATTAGAAGGCAAATTTGTATAAAACTAGACAAGTGCTCCAAAATCCAATAATGAATTGTTCAGAACAACTGAAGTTTCTTACAAAATATATTAGTTTCTTCATTTCACATACATTAACTAACAAAAAATAATAGTTTTTAAAAATAAAACATCAATCAAAATTTGAAAATTTTTTAAATCACCCTCTTATCAAAATAAATGGAAAAAAGTTTGTTTAGAAGTTCTGAACAGATCATTAAAAACAATAATTATCTGAATAAATAATAATGAGAGTTTAAAGAAAAAAAAGGATCTTATTCATCACTCCACAAGAAACTCGTGATATATTTATTTTTTTGGTATATTCAATATAAACATTTTACTCCAAAACGAGTAATCCAAGTAAAACACAATGAACCTCTATTTTAACAATGATTGGAAAGAAAACTACTTTGTTATTGAAAGTAAAGAGAAATGTATTTGCTTAATATAAAACAGTACTGTGCCAGTGAAAAAAACACAATGCTGAATGTCATCACAAAACCAATTACAGTTCTTTTAAGGTTAGTTATATTTAATCAACTAAAATTGGGATTATCTACAGCATTTTTACCAGCCAAGTAAATAAAAATAAAAATGCCAATATTGCTTCTTTTAAGATTTCTCATTTGTTGGCAAAACAAAAAAAAAAGAAACCATTTTTAGAAAGTAAACTAATTAAGGAAGCACTTCTCATCAGAGCCGATTCGTTATTTAAAGGATTTTCTAATAAGCAAGAAATTATTTCAGCAATACAAGATTTGCTGTTATCAAACAATACAAGTACAAGAAGAATCCAGGCAATTTCAACAGATTTACAAAGTCAGTTGAAAAATGACCTGGAAGAATTTGAGTATTTCTCATTACAATTAAATAAGTCAACAAATATATCAGAACAGGCCCATCTTTGGTACGTGCAAGGCCCTGGGCCAAGAAAAGCTTGGAGGTCCCCTTAAGGAATTGGTAATGGAGGGTTAATGTTCATAAATTTTTTCAATTAGCTTTCTCTGCTAAACATATTGTTATATTTATGTTTAATAAAATTTATCAAACATACCTTTTGATTGTTTGCTGTTTATAATAATTTTATTACTTGTTGCTCTATTCAATTTTGCATATTTTTGAGGTCTCAAATGTTAGGAGGCCCCTGGGCATAAAGACTGGCCTGTATCAGATACAGTGCAATTTGCAGTAATGATAAGAATGTTTTAAATTAAAAATGATAAGAATGTTTGAATTAAAAAAATGGTTTTTTAATTCAGTAATTTTAGTGTGAAAGAAGAACTATTAAAGTTACTATCAATGCAAGAGCTTTCGAAAAGGGGTGAAGATATTTATATTTTTAAAAATTACTCAAAAGAAATTAATATGCCTTTACACAAGTTATTAGCAATATTTACTGATTGTGCACCAGCAATAATGGATTAATTTCCCATTGTAAGAAAGATGAATCCTTTCTGAACATTATGTATTATCAATGCATCATACATAAAAAATTATTATGTGCCAAAATATTATCCTTTGAACATGTTTTGAATGTTGTTGTTAAAATAATTAACAAAATTTGAGCAAATCCTTTATCATACAGATTGTTTACAGCCCTTGTAGAAAAGGACAAATCTTCCAAATCTGACCTTATCTAATATACAGATATAAGATTAAGTAAAGGCAAAGTACTTGGCCAATTTTTTGATCTTTTGGAAGAGATAAAAAAAATTCCTTATTTGAAAAGGTCAAACGTTTGAACAATTAGATAACCTACAATGGTTGATGGACTTGGCTTGGCTTTTTTAACTGACATATATGAAAAATTTAACAGTTTCATCCTGGATCTCCAAGGAAAAAACAAACATTTAGCTGAAATGATTAGCTCTATAAAAGCATTCATAGCCAAAATACAGTTTTGGATAAACAATATGTCGAAAAATTCTCTTGTACACTGATGAAAAAAGTGACTGCTGAAGATAATTCTGACCTAACATTATTTATTACTCATCTTAAAAACTTTTGGAACAATTTGAAAATAAATTCCAGCAATTTACCATTATTGAACCCATGGATACATTTTTTGTAAATCCTTTTACTACACAAGTAGACATTACTGAAGCTGCTAAATCTATAGTAGAACTTCAAGAAGAAACATCAATAATTGAAAAAGAGATTTTAGATTTTCAAAATGACATTATATTAAAATCTCATGATACAGATGAAAACTTTTGAAATTTAGTTGATCATAAGAAGTATGTATAATCTTTTGAAAAAAAGAGCCTTCAAATTCATGGTGGATAATAAAGATTCGTACAAGTATGTAGAACTCTTTTGGTTCCACATACTTGTACGAATCTTTATTATCCACCATGAATATTATAAAATCAAAAATCAAACCTCAAATTACTAATCTTGAAGATTGTTTATGATTGGGATTATCATTTTATACTCCCAACTGTGAGAAATTAGCAAATGAAATGCAGTGTCAAAGATCGCACTAATTCAACTTTTATAATAAATATATATGTTACAAAATGCATGTTATAATAAAGAACATAATATTTAATTTTTTTTAAATCCAATTTGCACCCGCCACTATTTTTTGCAATCTTGAATATGCCCATGCCACAAAAAGGTTGGGAACCCCTGGTTTAGACATACTAACAAAGAAAAACAT